GGATATGGGCAGTGTGCACTTGGTTCAGCTTCGTATCTCCTCCACTCTGAGTTAGGCCTGGGGACTCCAGGCTGACTGAACAGTGGACACAGTTACTTACGTCTCTTCCCGTGGCAGTCCGTGCGAACATCTGCCCTTCCATTCCTGCAGCTCCAAGGTGAGGCGCATGCTGGGCCGTTTTCTTCCACCACCAAGGGCACTTCTGTAATTAATGTATCTGTGCCACAGGTTGGAAAGCAGGTGTTCTTTATGGCGCCCAGAATGTGACGTCCTCGGACGTTGGCAGGTGTGGCAGGAAACTCACTTGTAGCTGTGCCCCCTGGTTGGCTCCCCACCCCCACCCCACACATCACATGCATAAGCCCTTGGGTCTAGGCGCCCAGGGGCGTTTTTCCCTCACGGGGGATTCTGATCAGTGCTGGCGGTCAGAGATCCCAAGGAACTCTCTGAGGTTTTAACTTTCCCAAAATAGAGAATTCTTATTTTGCTTACCGCCTCAAGAAAGTATTGGGAGAATCAAGTGCAGAGTCAAAGGCACTTGGAACGTGCCCTTTAAAATGAGCTCTCTTGTGAATCACAGCATCTCCTCCTTAGGGCAGCCCCACGACGAAGGACAGCTGATAGGTTTCTCTCTGAAAACTCCCTGTGCTTCTAGTCAGTAGCAGGTGACCCTTTAACTTGTCCTTCATGAGTCTGACACTCTGGTTTCCCAAGCTGTGGTGCATTTTACCCATACTGGATTACGTTTTTAAGTTAGTGTGTTCTTATCTTTATCACTGTCCCAAAGAATTAGAATTACAAGATTTCATTTTGAAATGTAGAATTAAAATGGGGAAGACTAAGGAAATAGTTTTATGTAAAACCATACGTACGTTTATTTTAATAAAGTTAAAATAAAGGAAGAATCTCTCTGGCTTAATACTATAATTTTCCTGCAGAGTCAATGTAAGTTTTAAATTAGTACTTCGGAATTATGTGATAAAAAAGCCAAGTAGTCCATATTATGGGCAAAGTATTCAGTGCGTGCCCTTGCGTTCATTTTGAAAGTTGTTCTTCTGTAACAAAAGTGATTTATCCTGGAAAAATTGGAAAGATGTTTTAAAACACAGAAATCGAAAGAAAATAAGTTATAATCGTACCACTCAACAGGAACTATTAACATTTTATGCCCTGAGGATGCCTTCTTCTTTTTTTGAACTCTAAAGGGACGCTACTGTATATGCTGTATCTGGATTCATGTGACTTCTGGTAACAGAAACCCTAACTTACACAAGTTCAAACATGAACGAAGTACCTCATTCCCCGAAATAGCAAGCTCAGAGACGGGATGGGCTGCAGGATGTGGTTCATTGACTGGGGCAGCTGGCAAGGTGGAAAGACCCCAGTTCTTTCTTTTTTCTCTCTCCTGCTGCCGACGTCATAAGCGTCACACTAAGGTGGCTCTCTTCGTGGTCACCCCATTGCCACTGCGAACATCTGGACAACACGCTTCCTTGCTCGCATCTAGTGGCGGGAGAAAAGCCCTGGTGCCCAGCCCTGGAAACCCTGTCCTTCCATCTGGTGAGAGGGGCCTAGAGGCAGCTGCCCCAGAGCAGGGACAGTCACCACATACATGCCAAAGCCACCTGGTTCAAGCCCGGTCTCCTTTCTCAGTCACTGGCAAGAGGGGTTGGATTACGATGATCAGTTTAGACTAGATGGGGTCAATTCTGCAAACCACTTTGCTAGTGTAAAATGCTGGAGATGTGGAATCAATGTTGGAAGTCAACCCCCACCTCAGTAACCAGAGGTTTTCACAGAATATTTTATGGACACATGTGAGAGTCATGTTGAAGGATCACTCAGCATACTTCCTCATCATTGCCTTCAGGTTGTTGAGTAATTTGCTCTGACTCTCAAAGTTCTGTCCCTCCTCCTGCTCTTATCTACGCACCGCCTTTCCTCTGCATTGCAAGGGTGGCTGCCTGCAGCTCAGGACAGCACATTTTCTGCCTGGCCTCTGGGAGGGGTGAGAGCTCCCCCCCCCAAGCAAGCTCCGCCTCCTTCAGCCTGCTGGGCAACTTGGGTCCCCGGACCAGCCCCTGATGGTCTTGAGCCTGGCACCGGTACCTGTACTGGCCTCCGATGACCAAGAGACACGCCTGGTGCTGCGAATGGGCCGATTTGCCCGCATGTGTGGTGCCCCACACAAGGTGTGGGCTCAGCAGAATCAAGGTCTGTTGGGGAAGAAGAATGAACGTGTGGTACCTGCTCCACTGTCTTTAAAAATTGCTCTTTTCTGGGGCGCCTGGGTGGCGCAGTTGGTTGGGCGTCCGACTTCAGCCAGGTCACGATCTCGCGGTCCCTGAGTTCGAGCCCCGCGTCGGGCTCTGGGCTGATGGCTCAGAGCCTGTGAGCCTGTTTCTGATTCTGTGTCTCCCTCTCTCTCTGCCCCTCCCCCGTTCATGCTCTGTCTCTCTCTGTCCCAAAAATAAATAAACGTTGAAAAAAAAAATTGCTCTTTTCAGAGGCGTCTGGGTGGCTCAGTCGTTTAAGCGTCTGACTTCGGCTCAGGTCATGATCTCACGGTTCATGGGTTTGGGCCCCGCGTCGGGCTCTGTGCCGACAGCTCAGAACCTGGACCCTGCTTCGGATTCTGTGTCCCCGTCTCTCTTTTGCCGCTCCCCCACTCACACTGTCTGTCTCTCTTCGCCACCATTATAACAATTATCTGAATTATCTGAAATTAAGATAACTGTCTTTAGATAGTTTAATTTTCATTAAAAAAAATCAGTTTCTTCATTAGACATGCTCTGTTCAGAAAGAATTGGAGAGGAAGAAAGAATAAAGTCCTCATTAATCTAATGTTCTCCAAAGCTTTGGCATTTTTGCAGTGTCTTTTTTGGCATAGACAAGTTTTTCCTCATAAGTTTTGACTTAAAATGGTCTAGAAATTAAAAACTAGAAGAAAAAATGGGCTTAAAGATACAAATTATCATAGATGTAAACTTTAATATTTTTGTTCTTTATGTACTTTTTTATTTTTAATAGCCTTGAGACAATGTCATAAATAATATAGAGAATTAATAGGCATTTTTGCAGAATAATTCTGAGAAATCATAGGCATATTTGAAATTACTATGGCAAAAATCAGATGTTAAGGAAAAAAGTTATGACATACTCAGTTTTTAAAGTTATACTATTAAGGTGTAACTTCAGGTGTAATAAATATTCATATTTAATTTTAGGTGCTGGTGTGACGTGCACTAAAATAAAATGGAACAATTTCTGTGGTTCTATAAAGGAATCTATAAAGGAGTCATAAATAATTATAGTAAAGCTTCTTTGAGGTATTTTTATGGGAATAAAAAGTGAAAACTTGTTAATAGGGAAATTTTTGTGAGAAAGAGGTGAGTTAGTCTTAGAGACCTCAAGCTGCAATATATCGTATGGGAACCCTGAATAAGCAGTTAACTTCTCAAGATAATCTTGTATAACGTATAAAAGTTGAGTTTTTGAAAAAGCTTTCCAGAAGGTAGCAGGAAGGAAAAAATTATTATTCTAGTAAAATTCCCTGTGACAGATCACCCAGTTTCTGTGTTTTTTCTGTTACCAGAATGGAGACCTTATCTGGATTTGGAAGGGCTACGACTGCCTAGGATTAAAATGAACAAATGGGGGCGCCTGGGTGGCTCAGGTGGTTGAGCGTCCGACTCTTGATTTTGGCTCAGGTCATGATCCCAGGGTCGTGGGATCGAGCCCCACGTTGAGCTTCACATTGAGCGTAGGGCCTGCTCTGCCTCTTGCCCCGCTGTTCGCGTGCTTGCTCGCTTGCTCTGTCTCTCTCTAAAATAGATAAATGGATTAATTAATCAAGATAAAATAAAATGAACAAATAGACGTATTTCCTGTAGGATGACAACTTGTGTGCAGCCGTGGGATTCACCTCAGGTCCGAAGGTGCTCCCAGCATTGGGAACTAAGAGCCCTTTGGTGCTCAGAATGTGTCTTACTCTCAGTGGGAGGCCGCCCTTTGTATTTTGTGTTTTGTAGCAAAGTCTACAAATGCTAGCAAGAGCAGAGGATACCAGGACAGCTTATTTTAATTAAAAGCTGCTTGGATTTATGGAAGTTGTGTCTTTGTTGTTCTTCTTCCTCTTCTTTTGAATAACCTGGTGAGTCTGGGTGTGATCTGGTTGGCAGAGCATCTGTTCATACGTGGGAAGATCCTGTCCTCCCCCTGGTATTGTTACCTTGCTAGGTTACCTTGAACGAATAACTTAACCTCCCTGTTCCTCAGTTTTCTCATTTCTGAAGAGAGGGTGGCTATGTGTCTCCCAGGTTCTTTCCTGCAGCAGAATTGGGCTCTACGGGAAGTCTCCGTGAGGAGGGGTCAGACTGTGAAATGGGCGGGGCGGGGAGATGGCTGGGGTCGAGGACGAGCAGGCCTGGCATCAGCAGTTATGGGAGAATCCAGTTGAAAGGGCCAGCACCATGCCCACTGGCGACTTTTCTTCTGCCCGCCGGTTGAGAAACAGAGGTACAGAAACCCTAATGAGGTTCTTGGAAGGCGGAGAAAACCGCAGCAAATTCATTTGCCCCCCGGTCTAGGTTTTGGACGGTTCCGCCTTCCATCTGAGAGTTTATTTATAGTTTGTGGCCATGGTGTGATCTCACGGCCCTGCCTGAAAGAAAAAGACCAGCCCTTCTGGGATTTCTTGAACTTGTTACAAGTTCCCAGGGGAAGCTCTGAGTTTTTAACTAACCCTGGATATGTGAGTGCCTCACAACCGAGGGTCAGTAGGGAAGCAGAGGGCTCTCAAAGCCTCCCTACTGGAGTGTGGACGAGGCCAGAGGAGGCTCAGCCACCGCCATGTGCCTCAGCTCGGCCTGTGTGTTTTTGTCCTTCGAGATCTTTTTAAAGCCCTGCACACGCCTCTCTCATTGGCCTGATAAACTAATTTGCCTTACGAACAAGAAGCGCTGTGGACTGGCTCTGACGCTGTCTCTTGTCTGACACAGAGCCATCACACTGGAAAATCAACTGGTGATCCTTGCAGCGACAGCGGGTGATGCCAGGGTTTACTACGCGCAGGCCGTCAACGAACGCAACGGAGACAGCAAGACCAGCCCGCTCGTTCACCTGAGCGTAGCAGGTGAGTTTTGAGACGCCACATGGTAATTCTGAAAGCAATAAAGTCTTGATTTAATTAATGCATGTCTCACGGGGCCCTTTGCAATCAATCTTCTGTCTCTAGGATGGTGGCCATGGTTCGATATTGATCCACTGTCAATAGTTGCTTTCTTCGAAGCTGTACGCGTAAAATGTGAACACAACAGGTGATGCCCACTGCAAGATCTTATTCGTTTTGGGGGTTTCAAAAATCGTTTTTAACGTGTACTGTTTTTAACAACAAATCTCGGTTTATAAGGAGTTCCATCAATGAACCTTACTTGAGACTAGATTGGGCACAGGTTATGTTAATTTAAAAATAAAATCCTTGAGAAAACATAAATATTGTGTTCAAATTAGCAGTGTTCCTTAATCGTAATGAGCTGACCATTTTTTCTACCTGATTTAACGGAATTGTGAAGAGAACACGCACAATCACCGTTACACCTGCAGTTTATTCACAGAAGTGTTAGTCTGAGGAAACTTTGTTTAAACATTTGGCCTTTGGAGAGGTCTCTAGGAATTCTCCCAGAGTTGATTGCTGGAGAAAGGGAAAATGACCAGAAGCAAAAACTCTGACCTAAAAGATTAAAGCGTGCGTCTCCCGGGGCCCGTCGCCAGGCGTTTGCAGCATGAAGCTTCATGGGATGAAATGAGGTGATTTTGTGTTGAGAAAATACAGGCGGGAAATAGTTGTGGACTTCAGAATTCCGTGATCACATCAGACAAGAGTGAAGTAAGTGATTTTGTCTGTGTGGTAGCAGACGTCGCCTCCTTGAGAAACGTCTCTGAGCAGCGGCTTCCCCCTCGGGTTTGAAAAGTTTCGTTTCAGTCATGGGTTGGGATCATAGCGTTTGCTGCTTGTGCTCCCCGAGGGATACGATTGCACGAAGCCAAGTAGGGCTGGCCGAGGGAATGTCTATAGCAAACATGGGGTAGGAGACCCCGGGGTTACCTGGTCGGCTTCTACGTCCCCTCACGTTCCCGGTAAGTGCCCCCAAGTGGCCATTATCCTGCCATCAGCCCCTTTGTTCCTGGGAATTGAAACCTGATCTCCAGATTACAGACTGGGCACAGACTGGGCTGTCCCCATGGCCTTTTTAAGGCTTTGGAGAGTTATGTGCATCGACTAGGTGTGGTGTTCACAAAATATAGGCCAGGAGGTACTGATATTTAAAGGACCAGAGTGGAAATAAATATGACTTCTCAAGAATTTTTTTCAGCATCGATAACAACAGATGGAAATCACATTATTAAATAGATTGATTGCTTTAGTGTTTTCCAAGTTTTACAATTACAGCCGTTTCTTCTATTTAGAAAATAGATTTATCACTCAATTGTGATATACCTACCAGGATAATAATTGGTCAAACTGGTAATATTCTAGGTCAGAAACAAGGAAATTGGCCTCAGTCTGTTGGAAGAGAGAAAAAAATTCCACAAATATTCTGGTTAATGTAATGCTAACATCAAAGAGTTATGAAATAGTCTGAACCCATGGTGTTCTACATTGCCTATTGTAGAAAGGCCAGTAGGAAACAAAACTAAAACAGTGATTTTGCAAGTTGCCATACTAATGGATACCGTAGCGTTAGGTAATTGGGATATGTAAATGCTTTTTCAGTAATTTCAGTTTCTACTCCAACCCAGAAGTGTATTGGGAGTAGCTCATAAATATTATAATTAACTGCCTTGCATTTTGCTCCTTGTGTATTTTTATCTTTTCATTGGCACCGGGTAAAATGTGTGGAAGGTGGGTTATAAAGAGGTTGGTGATACGGACGGACTTGTTTTAAATCTCAGGAGAAAAGCTGCCTACTGTTTCCTTATATAGTCTTTGCTTTTTATTGGGTCCAAGTAAAATGTGAAGAATGAGAAGGTTGAGGAACCGGCCTTATTTTGATTCTTAGGATAACATTCTGTTGACATATTGGATTTAGCTGAAAGTTAAATGGCACTCAATTATGCGCTTTCTCACTAAAAATCCTATTTTGAAACCTCTAAAGATCAGGAAATTGATAAATCTGCAGAAACCCCAGAACTGTGTGTTTACATGTCGCTTCCTTCCGGAACAGTGGCAGAACCTATAGTTCAGGACTCCCTGCAGCACCGGGAGAGGCTGCGCTTGGGGATGAGGTGTCCTCAGCACACTTACACATCTTTTGTTTCTTTCTTTCTTTCTTTTTTTTTTTTTCTTTCTGATGGAGGCTTTGTAAAAACACCAAACAAGATTGATGAAATTTTTTTTCAAAACTTGCCAGCCAGCATTTCTGAAGAATCCAAAGTTGCTACAGCCAATTATCATTTAACGAAGATAAATTTTTCTTCGGCATCAGGAGAGTAAAATAAAGAATGTTTCTGTAGTGAATACGACTGAGGTTGGTAGGGGTAACTGGAGGTTAAGTTCCTGGTGCCTTGTACTGTAGCTGATTTGAAATTGGAGAGTGCCCGGCAGCCCTACCTATCGTTTCCTATCGTAAGAATGAGCTGTCCCTCCTGCAGGACAGCCCGGTGTCAGGTGGGAGAGCACAGGGGGGCCGGCCTTGCCTCCAAACATCTAAATGAGTGATGCCCTAACACCCAGCCCCTCCAGGGAGAGTGATGTATCTTCCCCAGCAACTGTGGACTTGAGAGTTCAAAACCTCGCCGCCGTTTCGGTTGCCAAACGCTTTACCTACACTGGAAGCGTATGGGAAGCAGAAGATAAAGAGGGTTTAAATAGAAATAAATAAATGTTTACAAAAGCGTGACAATTAGAGGGGAAATGCAGTCCCATAATGGTGCCGCCTGCTGTTGGTGCATGGTTGGTGGCTGGCGTTCTCATCTCTTCACGTTTCTCCCCCTTTTGTCTGGCCAAGAAGATAAATTGCAGCATGTGCTGCACAGATACCTCCTGTCCTGAAGGAGAGGCCATCTCTGAACTCTCCGTTCTCCTCCCCCGTGAAAGCTTGCTGCCATCTCAGGGGTGGATTTGCTTTGAAGTTGTGATGTGACGTGAAGCCAGCAGATGTCAAGGACATAGGTGGGACCGTTGAAGCGCCCTGCATGAATTTTTCATCGCTGGCTCCCGCAGTTCAGGTGCACGCCAAAAAAAGAATGGGCTGAACTCACCCGAGAGTAGACGTTTCTATTCTGAGGTCAGACCCAGGCAAGCTTTTATAAACCTGTCGACCTGCTTTTGGTTTTTGCTTTGAAGATTTTACATTGAGTTAACTTTTGTGGATCAGATCTTCTGAACTGAATGAATATGTGAATAAGAGCTTCTCCTTAAAATCAGAGAAAAGGGTAGAGTCAGGAGATGAGAGGAATTCCGCACGATGATCAATCCATCATTGTGTGACGGCCGCCTGCACACCTCGACACATCATCGCTTCTGACCCGATGCGCAGGACGCCAGGCGTAATGAGAGTCTCTGCCGGGGAGGAGGCTTAGGGGGAGAGAGACACGGCCGCCTGCCTCCTTCCCGTGTTTTCACGTCTTTCATTTCAATGCCTGCTCTTCAAACAAAGTCCTCAGCTAGCATATCATTTTAGCTGATCCTCCTTCGGGCTGACAAACCGTGGCTTTTCATTCTGAAGACCACTTAACATTCTTTTGTCCTCTATAATGCTAATTTGACTGCAGACCTCATATAGGCTTAGTAGTTGAGACCGGGTTCCTGAGAATAATGTCCAGGAACGGTCAAACAGTCGTCTGAGAGAGCTGCCCGGTAAAACCTGACTTTTGTGTGCCCAGATAAGATTCTCTCTTGTTTTCTTTGTGCCTTAAAATTTCAGGGAGAGAGGGGGCAAGGCATGAGCCTGTCAAGTGTGCTCTGACGTGGGTTGGATTCCCAAAGCAATAGTAGCAGTTTGAAATATTACTGGAAACCTGTCTAGAGACTGTGGCCCTCCCACAAATGATCAATTTAGAATCCTGCTACGGCTTTACACATTGTAGGGACCTTTGCTGCCAGAACTTTGAGAAACACATATAGCAAGTGTCGTGTGCTTTATGGTAGAGTGATGAGTTAATCATTTAGGACGGATTGAGCCTTCTAAGTGGGGTTTGTAATGAGACGTGCTCTGGCCCGGGGATCCTGGGGCTGGGCGTGAGCAGAGCTGAGTGTAGGCTGTGGTCTCTAAAGCGTGTTTGTAGGCACTCCATCAGGAAATAAGCCTTGAGCCTTCACCCTAACATATGCACACTTAGTTGTTTATAGATTATAAGCATAAGAGATACAAGAGAGGTAAGTGGTATCTTTAGTGTCTTGCTAATCTTGAACGTCTTATTAATCTTAAAAATAAGACAAGTAGTTATTTTACCAGTAGAAGTGAGTTTATTCAGGAATAGCAGAACATTGCAACCCAGGACAAGCAAACCATGGCAAAACCATAGGCAAATCCAAGAAACAAGGGAGAGGAACGTTGTTTTATGGAGAAGAAGGAGGAAGTTGTATGTGGCGGGGGCGGGGATTGAACAAACATCCATTGGGGAGAAACAGGGGTTCATGGTGGTGACGGTCCCTGGTTGGCTGAGTTGCAGGGTGGTTGATTTTGTTTAGGGCACGCATTGCATTGTCTTGGCCTGCCGGGCCCTGTAGCTGAGGTTTCTTTCCTGTTGATTGTTCTTCTCTTGGGTCTGTAATAGACATTTCTTCCTGTGAGAGACATCGAGTGATGTCACTCCAGCCTCCCGTTCTAGCCCCCGAGCCGACTTCAGTGAGGTTCCCCTTCATTAATTTTTAGATTCATTCCATCTCTAATTCATGTCTCATGGCACAATAGACACTTCTTGAGTGGAAATCCATATTTTACATCGTCTTCCTGCTGTTTAGTTTTTTGGACAAATTCTTGCAACCTCTGTTTAAGGAGGACTATGTATCCAGTATCATTGCCGATGCAGAGCCGCTGTTCGTCGTCCTCTTCTGTGCTGCCTGTGGAGTGACTCCAATCCGTGCCTCTTGCCAGGAACGCTTGTATCTGGTTGTCTATTCTGTGACAG